AGTTTGGTGTCATCAGCAAACTTGCTGAGGGTGCACTTAACTCTTCATCCAGGTCATTGATGAAGGAGGTGAACAAGACTGGGCTGAGTACTGACCCCTGAGGAGCTCCACTAGTTACAGGCCTCCAACTAGACTCAGAGCCGCTGATGACAACCCTCTGAGTTCTGCCATTCAGCCAGTTCTCTATCCACTTCACCGACTACTCATCCAGCCCACACTTCCTGAGCTTCCCAGTGAGGAGTTTATGGGAAAAAGTGTCGAAAGCCTTGCTGAAGCCTAGGTAGATAACATCCATGGCTCTCCCTTCATCTACCCAGCCAGTCATGCCATCGTAGAAAGCTATTAGATTGGTCAGGCATGATTTCCCCTTGGTGAATCCATGCTGACTACTCCTGATAACCTTTTTTTCCTCCCCTTGCTTAGAGATGATCTCCAGAATGAGCTGTTCCATCGCCTTTCCCTGGATGGAGGTGAGGTTGACTGGCCTGTAGTTCCCTGGGTCCTCCTTCCTGCCCTGTTTATAGACTGGAATGACACAGGCTTTCCTCTAGTCCTCGGGCACCTCTCCTGTCCTCCAGGACCTTTCAAAGATGATGGAGAGTGGCTCAGCAATGACATCCACCAGCTCCCTCAGCACTCATGGGTGCATCCCATTGAGAACCATGGATTTATGGCTGTGCAGTTTGCTTCAATGATCTCTAAACCGATCCTCCTCAACCAGGCGAAGGTCTTCTTTCTCCAGACTTTCTCTCTTACCTCCAGGGACCAGGGTCCTTTGCATACTTGCAAAAAAGAAGACCAGTTTAACGAATAATCTAGCTACTTGACTATTTGTATTTTTCAGGCATCATAATGTGATTTATTTTTTTCATTTTAAACATTCTTGGAAATTATTTTAATGCTTAAAATTTAATAAATGTTTTCCCCAAGTTATTTTCCGTAATTTTTTTGCCATTCAGTGCATTAAAATGCACTACTCGTGGAATCATGTTCCACCATATGTCTGAATTTTGTTAGCGTGTACATTTTCCAGAAGTAAAAAATGCAAAAGTGTATAATAACATAGGGAAACTCTGCAAGGCAGAGAATGTAACTGCTGTCATTATTCAATCACATATGATGTCATCAATATTATAAAAAGAAGGAGAAAATGGAAAAGAAAAAAAATTCAGAGTTTTCAGATTCAGCAGAAAACTAGCTATTTTTTTTTTCTAAAGGAAATCTGTTTTTCTACAGTATTCAGTTTCTTAAAGAGTTTATTTTTTACTGGAATTTTTTTCAGTTCACATCTGTGGTCATGTCTACTTATTAGCTAGAATAATAACCACTACAGGTGACATGCCAATGGGACATGCAAGGTAATCTTTTGATTATGTCACTGCATAGGTTTGATATTGATGGCCCTGTATGGGGATAACCCCATAGCAGTCAGCTGATGGTTTTTATCCACAAAGGAATATTCATCGTGAAACTTCATAACCAGGACATACTAATAAGGACTATGCAGAGGTAAGAAAAAGCAACTCTATACCCACAATTAATGTAAAAAAATGACAGCAGGAGATGTCCAGTGCACTAGGAATAGCTGAGTTCTGCCCCCAAAAACAGAGAGAGAAGCCCAGTAACTTGGGATGAAAACCTAAAGAGAGAAGAAAAAGACATATCTGTAGATACTGTAACTGGAGTATTTTCGGCTAAGACAGTCAAATGCTGTTTGTGTTCACTGCTAACGTGTGAGTATTTAATAACATACAAAGCTGTGTTACTCATACAGTACGAGGTAGGTGCACTGCCCGGACAACAACCATCCAACAAGATGCTGTAAGTGTTTCTCTGCTCCACCGTGTGATGGATTCCCAGATGGGCTCTCTGTGGGCTGAAGCACTCTTGCACTTCACACAAAAAGGCTGAGTGCCTTCTTGATGTTTTATACTGTACAGAAAGAAAGCAGCCTACACTTCGGCAAATAACTATGTACAAATGTTGTAAAGAAAAGTCATGTAAAACCAAATTCAAAAGACTGCATTAGGATTGCTTTTCTTCAGACGCTCAAGGTTTTACTCATGGGAATGCCATGCTGTTAGCTGGGATTTTATTATAATCTCTTCTCCAAGTTTTGCTGGTGTTTCTACCCAGCCTTTTCAGCAGTGCTGTTCACATTGCTAAAGCGAAGTGGTTATCTGAAGAAGACAGGGGAGATGGACAAGTTCTGTAAAACACTGAAGAACTCACCAAGGCTCAGCTTTTTCACCCATCTCAGTTCCCTTCCCACGTAAGCTCCCAGGCATTTCCATTCACACTCTATGTCTCCATCTTCTCAATACTCCCCCCACTCTATTCAAGTGATAAAATTTCTTTCCTGACAACCTAGTTTTTAACACGCTGGGGAGCACATTCTGCAAATTTAAAACCACTTAAACAGATTCAGAAAGTTTTCTAAGCAGCTGACATTTTTTTTTTTCACGTAAAGAAAGAGAAGGGGTGTGGGCGGAGCCCTGCTTAAGGAACAAAAGATATTTTTTTCTTGCAGACTCCTTATCTCACAATGTAAAGTATTCATGACTTCTGCAGCCAGCATAAACTGCATTAGGTACAATCAAAATCTTTAACACAGAGTGGAAATCATTGAAAAGTGTCTTGTTGCTGTACAATGACCCTCAGCAAGTCCATGAAATCGAGACTGCAGTACACTGCCTTGTACTGCAATAAAGAAATCTAGCAAAGGAGGCAGGAGACCTCCATGGTTGAACAAGGAGCTTCTAGCGGAGATCAGGTGGAAGAGAAAGGTCCATGGAATGTGGAAAGAGGGGCAGACCACTTGGGAAGAGTAAAGGAATGTGGTCAGAGCGTGCAGGGATGCAATGAGGAAGGCCAAGGCCCACCTGGAATTGAGGCTGGCAAGGGATGTCAAAAACAACAAGAAGGGCTTCTTCAACTACCTCAGCAGCAAAAGGAAGGCTAGGGACAATGTGGGGCCGCTGCTGGATGAGGCGGGTGTCCTGGTGACAGAGGATGCAGAGAAGGCAGAGCTACTGAATGCCTTCTTTGCTTCAGTCTTCAGTGCCAAGGCAGGCCCTCAGGAATCCCAGGTCCCAGAGGTAAGAGAGGAAGCCCACAGAGAGGACGAATTTCCCTTGGTCGAGGAGGACTGTGTGAGGGATCACTTAAGCAATTTGGATGCCCACAAATCCATGGGCCCCGATGGAATGCACCCATGTGTGCTGAGGGAGCTGGTGGATGTCATTGTTGAGCCACTCTCCATCATCTTTGAGAGGTC